AAGTAATTTTAAAACTGTTTATTGGTAAACTAAAGCGATGCATTCTGGGTACGTGACGGATTTGATTTGTGATGGAAAAGCATGGGGGAGAGGAAACTATCTTCCCTTCAAAATAAGAGCTTGGATTTTAAAGTTTTCCATGTAGTTGCTCCAGTTGACCACTAGATGTCAGTCTTCATCAGTATAACATCTTTAAATCATTTCTGAGTCTCTAACCCCGTTGCTTCGACCAATTACATCAAGTATTGAGCTCCAGCGTTTAAACTTTATTTTTTTTTAAAAGGAGCTTCGATTGTAAAGTAAAATAAATCAATACATACAAAATTTTAGAATGAATTACAAACATTAACTGTTTTTGCTGTTGCCTTCCTGCTATGTAAGCAGACACAAAGCATTGTGGGAAATCAGAACCGTGACCCAAAGCAACAGTCAGCAGGATGTATACCTTCACAATAAGAGTGTTTATCTGGGAGGGGTGCTGTTGGATAGATCACATGTGTTGTGATTCATTGACAGTCATACCTTCTGCTGTTCAACATAATGATGACTGGTAGATAGTTAGTTATTAGTGGTACTGCATTTGAATTTTAGAAAGCACAAATCTGCTTATGAATTATAAAAATTAGTAAGACCGCTAAAGTGCAAATGAAATATTTAGATCCGCAATTAGTGGATTTGAGCTTTAGCGGGCTGGTGCCCACCACTGCTAACTGGGCCAAAGAGCAAACAGCTTGTTTGAGTGAGGGAGGACAAAACCAGAGTTTACATTTAATAAATCTTTACATTGCCATTGGTTTTGCATTATATGGTAATATCATATTAATTATATGGTTACTACATGGTTTAATGTTTTGGCCAGAATATTCTTGTAAAGTGTAAATGTTTATACGAGGAAGTCTGCAGGAACCACCTTGTATTTCTTTGATATTGGACAGGTTTTAGGACAGCAGTGACTCACTTTGGTCTGGGATAACTTGGAATATGATAGTCCAAGTTATCCCAGACCAAAGTGATAGTCTGACTATCCATTATCTTAGTGTGGTCAGAATTAAACTCTGTCCATGTTGAGATAGTTGAAGCTACCTGCAACAGGTAAGATATTGTTTGTAAGTATTTAACAGACCTCTACTTCAGAACGTCTGAACTCTCACTTTGTTTTCTTTAATTCTGTACAAGTTTCATCATACATCCAGTGCAGATATTTTTAATCCAGATATTTTTTAAAACACTATAAATTCAAGAATTAGTCAAGTCAGCCTTAAGACATATTTATCAGCCTTTATTTGTTTACATTTGTTTGTTTTGTTTATAATTTTTCTTTAATRTCTCTCAGAGGAAGAGGATGTGCAGACAGTTTGATGTCAGGTTTCTGACCCGTGCTGGTCTCTTGCAGTACTCCAAACAGGTGGACACCAGGTTTGGAGCCTACGTGGCCTGTGCCTCCCTCGTCTTTCTCTTCATCTGCTTCATCCAGATCGTCATCGTCCCACCGTGAGTCGGCACTTTCAAACATCATCCAGCACTAATTAAAAATCTTCAAGTGATTTTCTTTGGCCCTCCAGTTACACATAATTTATTCAGGATAAACTATGGTCAAATTAGTATTTTTTTTCACATAATATTTATTTATGCAYGGAGAAATGAATGTGTGGCAAAAATGGTAAATAAAAACAGGAGAAAACTTTGGTGACTATAAATGTTTATAACCTTTTTAACTGACAAAAAGCTTCATTGGTTCATAATTTTGTTCAGGTATCTTTTATCTGTAGTCACAGAAATCCAATGAGAAACATTAAGTCAACCTCTAATTATTTTACTTGGACCAAACAACTTAAAAGTAACTATAATGTGGCTGTAATAGCTGTGACTTGTCTTGTTTTGGACCAGTGGCTGCTCCTCATTTTATTCTGTAGTTTGTTGCTCAACGTCAACTTCTGCAGGAACCTCAGCTTCCTGTTAGAGAGGGGCTGCTGTGACAGAATCAGTACACTGAAATCTATCTTGGTTTGGAAAAAAAAACACATAAATAAGAGTGACCATTACAGAAATACAAAGGTTTCTTTCCCAGAGAGTGATAACTCTTTGCAGGAATGTAGTTTCTCTGCAGRTAAATTTTATGAGTCAATAGTCTATATGCCACGGACATCCAGTCCAGCACTTGGTGCCACTCCCATCATTTCCAGTTCGCGGTCAACACAGTGTTAGCGAAAGATTTTTTCACCCAACAACGACTCTTAATGATCTCCACAGTACAGAATTATCATA